TTAGAACTTTGAGAAAATGTTTCATGATTATAAACAATTTTATTTCTGTTGTCCCTAGACAATTGTAGATTTTCTTCAAGTCCATTTTCTTGTTTATCCTCAAAACATAAAAATTCTGTTGTGAAATCTTGTTTTAAATTTTCAGAAGGTGATAATTCTGGTTTTAAATTTTCAGATGTTGAAATAACTGCTGATGCAGCAGGTTTCTTATTACTTTTTTCAATTGAACATGTAATTTCAGGTTTTACATCTTGAGAATTATTAAATGACATGTTAGGTTTTATATCCTGAACATTAAAAAATGATAATTCTGGTTTTATGTCATTAGAAGAAGAAAATTCTGAATTAACATCAGGTTTAACATCTTGAAAAGTTTTAAATGACATGTTAGGTTTTATTTCCTGGAAATTAATAAATGTCAATATCTCTGTTTTGATGTCAGCAGAGGAAGAAAAGTCTGGTGTAACATCAGGTTTAACATCTTGAGTGGTTTTAAATGTTATGTCAGGTTTTATATTCTGAGAATTATAAAATGTCAATAATTCTGTTTTGATGCCAGCAGAAGAAGAAAAGTCTAGTGTAACACCAGGTTTAGTATCTTGAGTGGTTTTAAATGTCATGTCAGGTTTTATATTCTGAGAATTATAAAATGACAATAATTCTGTTTTGATGCCAGCAGAAGATGAAAATATGGTCAATAGATCTGGTTTCAAATCTTCAGAAGATGAAAACTCTGTCAATTCATTTGAATGTATATCTACAGTAGATGAAACTGCAGCTAACACATCTGTTTCCACCTCCATGCTGGGCAGCTTCTTAGATATGAACTGATGATTTAAAAAATGTAAATGTTAAACTGGTGATTAAATAACCAAAACAACTTATTACTAATAACATGGCAAAATTTGTAACACATGCCAGACTTGTCTGATTACTAATGATTACTTAGTCAGATGTAATTTTAAAATGGACAACCAGTAATGCAAAGCAATCAGGACTGCAGATTAATATCTTGAGCTTTCAGTTTCGTAAAATTCTTTTTAAAAATAGAAATACTAAGATATTAATAATAACAAAATCTAAACTTGATTTGCTTTTGTTAGTTTTCAAATGTTAGTAATAAGTGCTTAATCTTATCCGAATATGTAATAAAAGTTTTAAAATTAATTTTAATTACAGTTCTAAACTGTCATAAACAGCTTTATAAACATTTGATTTCTTCAGGCAGCTTGGCACTAATTTGCACTTGAACTTAATGTTTTTTAGTTTTTAGACAATATTTGTACACAATAGGACTTGTAAGTTCTTGTTCTCTCTCACTTAAATTCAAGTCCTGTTAGCCGGGGAGAGATAAAAAAAATTGGAACTAAATCAATTGTTGTGAACGGGATTTATATTGATAACAAAAAACATAGCAGCTTCAAGATTTAAAAATCATTAACAGCTCCCATAATGCAACAATTGTAAAAACTTTCAATGCTATTTTATTCGTATGGCTGGGAACTAATATATGTGCATGCATAAAAGTTTTGTGGCGTTAATTATACGGATTTATTAATTTGTTTAAAGTTAGTGCAAGGAAGGCTAGGAGACGTTACTGTTGCTCTACTCAACTGGCGCAGCTGCTTTAAACTACGGAAAGAACACAACACTAATAGTGTCATCTTCCAATTTTACAGTATGAAGAAATGAACTATTTGATTTAGATCTAGATTCTATAAATCTACTTATCAAGACATACACTATGAAATAAATAAAATTTTCTATGTCAAAAGAATACAAATTACTATAAAAAACAACCTAATGACCATTGAACAGCAGGGTTTTTAACGGGATCATTTAAGTCTCCAAATCAGTGTGTACATTTAATATGGTATTGTGTTGACTAATAATGTATATAATTCAGTTTTAATTTTTCTAATAGGTATTGGTAGCGTATGTTATTTTAAATGTGTTGGATTTTTAGCTATTTCTTTGCTTTGTCACTAATATCGTTCAAGGTTACATTAAAATAAAATGATAAAAAAATCAATGAATAGACAATTTATTATAGTATTAGATTAGACATTAGATCAAGATCTTTCTAGATCTAATTAGTATGGTTGCATAATCTGCCGTCGCTAGTAATGTAGGAATACTGTAACTAATGAATATATTATTGCATAGTGTACTAAAAGACTAAAGATAATTGAATATTCAACAACAGTTACGGGTTAAATCAATACAAATTTCCAGAAATTAACGTTTAACAACGATGTTCCAGATACTAAATTTGCTAATAAAAACAGCAGCCATCTTATGAAACGGCGGTGTTGAGAAAAATGACATATTTCTTTTTTTGACAGCCGAATAAGAAATAGATTATAATTCTCCTACAAACTTTAGGTTGATCTAGGGTTTCTTTTAGAGGGAGATCTCATTATAGAACGGGTGTTTTTTGTTGTTATAATAATGGATGGTGGGGATGGGTAAACATCAACAGCTGAACAAAAAAATCGGAAACTGATGAAAGCTGGAAGCAAACATGCAACAAACATGTAGTATGCAAATGTAACTAATTAAACCTATTTTATAAACACAACAACCGTACTCAGAAAAGTGTAGGCCTAAGAGTAGGCCTATTGGGAAATTTTTCCTAATTATCATAGAATGATAAAACGGACACAGATTGTTCCTATAATATACCCCATTGATAAAAATACCAAATTTATCATTCTAGGCCTAATAGTTTTTTTTATATGAATTTTCAAAGTTATGTGTTCAACTTGTTATGTTTCATTGTAAACTGAATTTGAGATGTGTGATTGGCTTTAAACTTGCATACCAATGTTGCTATTAAAGATATAATGATAAAACTTTGCACATTTATACTCAATGATATAGGCAATAGAAGTCTACAAATAAAATAAAAATTAGAAAAAAGATAGCTAGAAATAATGAAGTCAAATTAAGGGGTGTGGCACTGTTCTATAGTGACTGCCATAAGAGGATTTCCAGACTGCACAGCTAGGTTGCTATTCCATATACCATCATGAAACTTTAAATATTAGGACTAGAGAATGTAAAAAATACAAACATGCAAGTAAAATAAACATAGCTAGAGGAAAACTATAAATAGTGAACTTAAATATGGTACAGCGCAATTAGACTATGATGATTAACTACAGGCTAATATATTGTACTTCTTTGCACTATAAAAATAAAGATTAAACTTTACATACTGATTCTGGTGTAAGTAATAAGAATGCTAGTATACATATTGTACAGGTAATGTATTGAGTTAGAACTTACAAATATAGCACAATGATCAAGATACTTAATGATTTGCCATAAACATTGCATTTGTCAGTGTATGACATGGTAAAAATGTTATTATTAATTTAGAAAATGTTGGTTCTTGTAATGTTTCTGATGACAAGTGTTGAGATGTGCTAAAAGTCAAAGATTGACATTTCACAGTATTTTTATTAATAAAATGTTTACTGAAGTCGACATGTCATTTAATAAATTCTTAAAATGACATTAATGAAACTGTTCATGTTTTCTTTCTATTATAGTTGCCTTTAACTAAAACTGTTATGCAGTGCAGCTTATAAAATTGGGCATTATCATTTATTAATTTAGACCCTTTATAGATCTAGATAGGCCTGTCAGTATTTACATTTAGGCCTAATAGTTTTTTTTTATATATTTATATTACACATCTCTAGACCCAATATTATTTCAGTGTTTTCATTTCCATTTAGATCTAGATTCTATTTTATTTTAATTTTTTGCCAGAAATATAGATTTATTTCTACTTGAAAATGCCTTTATAATCTATTTATCTGCAATCGTTAATTCTAGTTTGCAGTATCTAGTTAGTGGTATTAAGAAGGTTAATAAAAATTTGGCTAATTTAAAATTTTATAATTTAGGCAGCAATTATCTACATTCTTTCCATTTTTAATTTAATAATTTAGATATAGATCTTAAGTATATTTATTTTAAAGCCCATTTTATTGTAACAGTCCATTTAAAAAAACAAACAGCTATTAAAAAACAGTATGCGCATATCTATTAAGATCTCGTAACTCAGCCATCATTATGAAATTACGCACGCTTTCTTGTTCCTACCCTACGAGTTTTATCGCACTACTCCTCATTGCCCCGTGCTTAAAAACCCTTAAAATCGACATTTCTGTTTATCCAAATGGTTGGCATGTTATTAAGACCTATTTTCATTCAATTTAGATGATTATTTATATCTGATTTACTTTTCAATGCACCAGTTCGGTAGCGTCGGCATATCGACAAATATTTGCTATTATAGTTGATCGCTTTCGGTATTGGACATTGTAAAACGGGAGCTAATTAATTTATTAGTATGTATGTATATTTAATTTCGAATGTTCAAATGAAACACAATTTTTAAAGATTTTGACCTACATATACCAAATTTTCCTACTCGGCCTTGCCCCGGAAGCAAGGTAAAATTCTATTGGCTGGCGGACTCGGCATTATTAGTGTTAAAATTTTCGATTCACTAGCTAGTTTATCGCTTCCGGCGTGCCTAGTGATGAACTGAATCTTGTTGTGGATTTTCAATCAGCTGTTTACAAACTCTTTAGACAAATCTCATCGTATCAAATGTTTTTGTCGGTTTAATAATGTTTAAACTGTTCAGAAGTAGCGTGATTTCATACCAGCCACCATTCTCTGTTGATTCACTGCTACTAGATTTAGTCTACACAAGCCTACCGCAAACGACAAGAGTACAGAGTTTCTTCCAGGCATCTCTTCGGGGGGGCGAAGCCCCCCCGAAAAATTTTTACCGCCCCCCCGAACGAAATGAAATTTATATAATTTATATAGAAAATATATACTTTTAACAGTGTCCGCCCCCCCGAAGAAAGTTTACCGCCCCCCCGAAGATTTCAAGTGCCCCCCCGGAGAAAAAAGTCTGGAAGAAACACTGCAAGAGTAAGCAGTGTGTTACGTGTGTGTGTAGTAAGTTATTACACAGCAAGAAATACACTATCATCCTGTGATCGAACCCATAACAGACTTATCAGATAGAACGATTTTGGTAATAACTTAAGTAATCCCCGGGTGAAGCTGGCCTGCATATGTTACAAGTGTCCTAATGTGTAACAAAGATAAAAGAGTACACAACAAACTAGGCTCATGTGGTTGATGTTCTACAGCTGATTATGACAACTACAGCCTTAATTTTGTTTACAGAATAGATGCACGGACATCAAGCAGTGAGTGTTTCAATATCCATTAAACTTTTTGAATTTAAAGATTAATTAGTAGGCCTACATATTTTTTTTTAAACATCTTATTTAGGTTAGTAGACCTGTTTGTCATTAGACTCATTACTGGTTCAGATACTAGTTCAAAAGATTTTTATCTCCTCAAACTAATGAATCAAATTCTATTCAGTGATTCTCCTAATCTTATATTCATACAATATATCATTTTAGTTTTATGATTACTTTTCTTTTTACATTTGTATATTTTATTAATAAATTCATTTCACCTATGATTTAGGCCTATAGTGTGTGTTGAAAACCCTGCAAGTTGACCCTGGTTCAAGGTAACTTTCCCTACACATAATTTTGTTTCACATAACAATATCTGGAGATAATGATTGAAGAGCTAGTGACCAAGTGAACTCAGTGAAAGAATATGGCAACTTTTAAATACTGCAAAAAGGAGAATCATGTATCCGAGTGACTGCAAACCGCTTTTCAAAATCTTGTTCTGGACCCAAAACAGTTGTAAAATTTATTTATAGCTTATACCTTACAATGATTTTTCAGCTTAGTTTAGGATTCAATAAATATTCAATGCAAAATGTGTTTGTGGTAAAGTGTGGTTTTTTTTTGTCCACTAAAATAACTTGTTCTACTTTCCTTTATAGAATTGACCTTTGCTAAGAGAAAGCCAAGCAGTATGAAACCAGACAATAACTTGGAAAAAGAGCATTTATTTTGGTCAGTGCACATGTATTAACAGGAAGAGATAAAGAGAGCTGAAGAGATGAATAAATCAATTAGTTATAGTGGTTGCAAGGATTAAAAAAACAAACCATTGAAACATTTTGCCGGACAACTAATCTGAAAAAAGAAAATGCTAGATGGCAGGAAAAAGTAGCAGTTGCCAAAATGAAATGTGAATATGCTTAACAAAATAGAACTGTTAGGAGTGGTTCAGGCCATTTTTTGAATCAGCTTATTTTAAGAAAAATTTTTTACCTTTACGCATTATCTTTGTACAACAATTTTTTTACTTTATTATTTAAAATGTACTTGCAAGTTTAATACTTCATTGCATGATTATATGTTAAATAAACCTGCATAAATTAAAACCAAATTTTGTTAGCATTTGTTAGGTTGTGAATGAAATTTTTCATTTTTCTTTAGTTTTTTGCGTTTTTCTCAAAACGCTAAAATTCACTCTTCAAATCCCTACTCCTATTAGTTCTGCATGTATTGTAATGAAACTTAGCCTGATTATTCTTCTAACATTTATAAACAACTTCTATAAAGCGTTTTTTTAAAGATTTTTCGGTAATCTATCGTTTTGGGTACGTAAAATCGCCCGCGGCTATTTATGTACGAAAACGTTACCTCATTGTCAAGGCATTAATAGAAGTATATTGTCATACTTTTGTGTCAAATATTATAGATAAATGAATAATAAACCTAAATCAATGGCTAAATATATCGATATAGGCCAGAAATTAACTTTAAACAGCAGTGTCTGAGAGCAAGATTTGCTATATAAACAGCAGCCATTTGTAAAATAGAGTGGCTTCCCCCTGAATCTGGCGCTAAAAGCTTATAAAAATAAAACTTAGACAAGATGGCTGCTATAGTAAATGAGCATGGTTGCATCTGTTGGAAACATCGCTAGTCTTCATTTATTACGGAAAAGTTTTAATTCAATTGTTTAAAATCAGGTACATAAATGAATCAAGGAAACATTTTTGAATTTTTTAATACATAAATCCTCCTCAAAATGTGAAATAATTATTAAAATTTAAGGAGTCACCTGTTTTTCACATTACAAATCGCGGGCGATTTTACGTACCCAAAACGATAGATTACCGATTTTTCTTACTTTAGATTTTATGGACTGAAATATGTTGAATTTGAGCAAATTTCAGCTTTTTTTAACAGTTAAAAATAATTTTTCTGAACCATTTTCTAAAAAAATACTTATAGAAAGAAAATATAGAAAGTTTCAGGCTAACATCACTCTACAAAATGCTTGCATTTCTGTGTGTTTACCTCCAGTGGTTGCTGAACCTTAGCATTTTGAAAATGATAAACAAAAATCCAATATGGCGGACGTAAACATGGCAACTAAAAAGATTTTTCTTTTTCGATACCATTTTAAAAAATCCCATTGAGCATACAGTATATGGGTGAAGTTTCGGTGAATTTGCTTGACTAATAACAAAAAAGAGTTTGTCCTGTAGCTCCTAGCCTTAAGACGGCAGTTCAGTTTTTCCCAAGAGTACTCGACAAGAATAGCGTGTATTAATTAAAACCATATATCTCGGCCATTTTAAGGCATGGCGTCTATTTAGTTAGCATCTCACATTAAAATAATGATGAGATTTTGCAATATTAGCAGTTTTTCCATTTGTCGTGTATAGGACCCCTAAAAAACCCCGCAAAAACAAGTGACGTTTCAGGGTCAGAGGTCGTCCCGCCATCTCAGCAATGAGCTAGACTATTATATAGGCCTACCTATAGACATAAAAATAAGGACGGGTAAGGCAAGAGCAGTCTTCAACCAACTAAAACATGTTTGGGGTTCGGGAGATTTAACCCTTAGAATAAAAATCCGGATCTTCAACACACTAGTAAAACCTGTTTTACTCTATGGAGCCGAGACATGGAGAATAACTGCTATAAATAAGAAGAAAATACAATCATTTATAAACGCATGTCTCAGAAAGATCCTGCGAATTCGCTGGCCTAAAACCATCAGAAATGATGTTCTATGGCAACGGACAAATCAACTGCCAGTGGAAGTAGAGATCCTCCAGAGAAAATGGAAATGGATTGGCCACACACTCAGGAAGCCTGTATCCAGCATAACAAGACAGGCCCTCACCTGGAATCCACAAGGCAGGAGGAAGAGAGGCAGACCAAGAAAGACCTGGAGACGTGACCTGGAAGAAGACACCAAGAAGATTGGATACACCTGGGGACAGTTGGAGAGACTAGCCCTGGACAGAGACGTCTGGAAAGCTCTTGTCAGCGGCCTATGTCCCAGTAGGGACGACAGGCAAACATGACATGACCTATAGGCTATTTAATAAATTATATATATAAAGAAAAAAACAGGCCCCGCACGGAAGGTTGGCCATAGGCCCCGCATATGCCTAACGCCAGCTCTGAAGTTACTTCTCCCTCACATTGATTACTAGATCTAGATCTACTGCCGTTGAATTGATTACGCTAAAATCGAATAGATTACCTATTTACCTAGATTAGAATTAGATAAGATACTTACTAGACTGTTTGAAAGCGTCCTTGGTTGCTAACCAGAACATGGCTACATCACCTTGGCCTACAATTGGGCAATTTTTTCTGCTTTGTTCGAGAGACCACCTTAACATTAAGTTTAAAAATAATTATCACGCGACCATGGAGGTCAAACGGAAACATGGGTATAGTTTGAGTTGTTTAAAAACTTTGAATAAATGACTGTTAGGTGTCTAAATGGCACTGTAAGGTAGAGTATTATTAGATTGATCGTTTAGTGAAAAAATATTGTAATTATTTTGAATCCATTTTAAGAAATCGGCATCCAAAAAAGGTCACTGAAAGCACGTAATTTTTTTATTGTGACGTCATCGCTATTGTTACGGAAGCTGTACAGTAGTATCCTCTCGCTGCTTATATAATTGTGTTTTCTTTTCACTTGACACTCTTTTTCAGCTTATTTTGCTAGCGTAATTAGACTAATTAAGCCTCATTATGGATATTTCACCTTGCTTTTGGATTATACTATGACTCTAAAACCACAACGATCTTTTATTTTTATTTTTTTTTTGTTGTTCCCTGGAATTAGATTTAGTAGTGAGCGTTGGTCTTTGTGTGCTTATTTAGTAAAAATATTTAGGCCTAATTATTTGTTTTCAAATTTGTTATAGCTTAATTAATTTGTCTTAATTTCTTATTGATTTCATAAATTTTAATTAGGCTAATTATAATATTATTTGCACTGGTCTTCGTTGATACATTTATTAGGCTTAATAATGTTAATATTATAACGATTTTAGAGGCCTGATAAATTAAATAATTTTAGCGTTGGGTCTAAGTTTACATTATTAATTAGTACTTAGTAACCAAGTACGCATGGACTAGGACATGTGTGCTGTGCCCGTGCTGTGGCGGGCGATGCCTCTCTCGCTGACAAACCAGCGCGAGCGAGTCGTGTGTCACACTTGGTCTGTGTCGAGGTTTGGAATGCATAGGCATAGGCCTAATTCTCGCTCTCGGTGATTAATTTTAATGCGCTGACATTTGAAAAATCAAATAGACACACATCTTAATTAAATACATTTAATGTGAACTTTATATTAATCTAGACCTACAATTCTTATTATAATTTGGGATAACAAAGTACTTGGACTAGATTTTACGCATGCACATACTGTGCTGTGAGTTTTCTCTCGCTGGTTGACAAAAGAATGCAGGCGGGCTGGCGATGTTTGTACTTTGCATATAGCTTCGCTCACGTGGGATCATTTTAGTGCGATTGGCCTCTTTTTATTTTATAGGCCTAAGTAATTATATTTGATAGGCTAACTTTTCTGGTTGACAAAACTACGCGAGCGAGATGTCTGTCACTCGCACCGTCCGTGACGCTGTTTAGAATGTATTTCTCGCTAACTTGATGAATTTGAATGCTATTGCAGTGTTTTTTAAAATAAATCAAATACTTACAAATCTTTACATTTTAAACTGAGCATAGACAAAACTTTGTAAATAACACACCTGTCCCAAGTCAAGTGAGAGAAGAGGGTTAGATTAATTTTACAATGACATCGCTATATTTTATGAATTTTCCTAATTAAGCATTGCTAAAACACACTAGTTAATAAAACATGCATGGGATTGAATATCTTTAAAAAGATTAGATCTATACTATATATTCTTAAACATGTTTTTCATTAATTTGGGTTAAGTTTTCCTTTTTAAACACCCTTCCATTTAAAAAAAAATAAAAATATTTAAAAATTCTAGAACTAGATCTAGATCTAATTCCATTATGTGATTTTTATTCTGACGAAGACAGTGTCCATACGAATAGAAATGTGGTAATAAAATCAAATGTACTGTGCATATTCTGCTAAAATCAAATCAGCTGCAAGGTCCATCCTGCAGAGTTCTCCTCTTCAGATAGACACATGGTTGTCACGGATTATTTTGATTTGCAAAGCTGGGAGTGGCCAATTAATAAAAATCAGTAATTAAGCTCCAAATGAGTTTATCAGAAACAAATTAAGTATTTGATAGATTTAAGATTGATCTTTAGTTTTCATTCTATAATTATAATTATTATAATAATATAATATTATAATAATATAAGTTAGTTTAAAGTTAGTGAGCCTCGCTACTAAGTACTAGATCTAAGTAATACCTGCTGGATCAAAATTTATTTATAAGAAATTATTAGTCCCCCTAGATCTATACAATACTGGGTAAAATCACGATATAGCGTCGGAAATTATTGGGTAATGTTCGTTGAGTTTCGGTAACATTCGTTACTGTAAACCATACTTTATTTGACCGGTGAAAGAAAAATAAAGTCAAGTGCATTAAATTAATGTTTTAACTTAATTTAATGTTTAACTGACATAAAATTAGCAACAATTAGTAAATCTAAATATTATTAATAAAGTCGAGTGTAGTAATTAATGTTTTTTTTTAAGAAACAGATAAAATCTGCAGAAGATTTGCGACAACCAGCTCTAGATCTAGTTCTGTTAGTAAATAAGACGATTAGGCTAGATTAACTAAAGTTAAAAGTAGTAAGAATAACTAGAATAATGTTTAGTAGCAGCAATAATTAGCACATACACTTAAAATAGTTAGAAATACAAAATAATTAGGAAAACAGTATTTAAAATGCAACTAAAATCAATCCTTGCACATTTTTAAACATTATGTACTAAAAATAATATGGCGGCAAATAAATGATGGTTTACAGTATTTCCGGTGGTTTCCGGAACGGCTCGACA